CCCGGGCTTGTAAAAGGAAGTGGATGAATATGGAAGACATACTGCTGAGTGCAGCAAGCCATGCTGTGAAGGAGAGACATTGTATGTCCCCACTTAATATATACCAAGTGTCTGTACTCTAAAAAAAAATCTGTCTATCTATCTATCTATCTATTTGAAACCATACTGCTTCTGTTGTTAGAGTTATAAAATTATACAAAATTATAAGACATATTTTGAACATTATCTTTAAAATTCAGTATTTTGAAACTTTGAAAGTTGTTTGTAAACTGTCAAGAATTATGGAGTATGAGCTAAAATTCTTTGCTATGTAAAGTAAATGTTTGTGGAAAAATGTAAAATAAAAACAAGTTGTAATGGAAAGAAAAAAAAGAAAGTCATGGTGGGCAATGTGAGCACGCGTGCCTAGTCCTGAGAGGAGAGAGCAGGAGAAGGGACTATGGCATGGCCATTGCTCCCAGGGGATGATTTCTCACTTGCCCTGTCTCTGTCTCTTTCTGTCTCTTTCCTCTCTAGCAACCACACTGCCCTCTGGCAAAAACCTAAAAAAAAAAGAAACGGTACATTTTTACCGGGTGTGTCTTTCAGCACATGAATATGCAACAATCAAATCAGGCTAATTAGCATAGTAATCATCTCAAACATTTATCATTTTCTCATGTTGGGAACACTCAAATCTTGTCTTTGAGCTATTTTGAAATATATATTAAATTATTAATTATAGTTACCCTAGTGTGCTATATAATACTAGAAATTATTCCATGTGTCTAAGTGTAATTATGTGGGAGAAAATTATTTTTAAGGACACCCCAAACCTTGATTTCAGTCATGTGAGATTCTAAGCAGACAATCCACCCATGGACACACAGACTTATGACCTACAGAACTGTAAACTAATAAATGAGTGTTATTATAAGCCACTGAGTTTGTGGAAATTTGTTACACAGCAACAGAAAACAGTTACAATGAGGATAGAGCAAATGCTCAATAAATTATAGCTTTTATTACTCATTGGGATCAGCTGCACAGCTCTGAGAAAACTAAACTACAGTTAACTATGCAAGTCTGACAATGTAACACAGCCTTCAGATCCCAGGTTTATTTGGTCTAGTATGGCTGAAATTGTTTCCCAAGAGGAAATACATTGTTGACATTTGATGAGAAGAGGGGCTCATTGTTTAGAACTGCCCTGGACATGGCAGTTCACTTATCATTTCTGACTCCTCTTTCCCTAGTAATAGTGGTCTCCCAGTCATCCCAACTACCAAACGCTCTACCCCACAAGCTTGAGAACCACTGTAAGGGAAATTCCTTAAGAACAGTTGCCATAAAGGTACCATATCAATCACAATTCTACCCAAATTGACCCTAAGAATCACTGTTTAAAAACAGTGATTCTCGGGTATCCATGTTAGGTCCAGAGACCTCCCTGAGTATACTAGACATGAGTGTGCCCATGATCTGGGACTAGCTGAAGCTGGTAGTGGATCACGGTGTCAAGACCCTGGTAGGGGTGTTCTCTCTGTCTCTCTTGCTCACTCATGGGAGAAATACATAAGAGAAACTTTAAAATAAAATAGTGACTCCCAAGCTCCTCCCATAGGCTCTCATTCTACAAGTCTAAGGTAGAGCTCTAGGAATCTGCACTTTTACTTAAACATCCCAGGAGTCCTTTGTTTATTTTTAAAATTTTTTAAATTTTTGATGTAGTGTGCATGTCTTTGCTTGAGAGAGAGGCAAAGTGAGAAAGCACACCCCAGGGAAGATGACCATGTCACAGTCCCTTCTCCTCTATTCTCTACTCAGGATTTGGGGCATGCATGTGCACATGCCTGGTGAGTTTTTCAAGCCTCAGGGTCCAGGATTCAAACCATGAACTCAGGTACATGAAATTTTGCCACCTTAATCCCTAGGCCACCTAACTGGACCAATTTTTGTTCATTTAAATTTGAAAAACACAAGGTTAGAAACAGACTCAGCTAGTGTCAGCAGGTGGGGTGGCGGTTAAGGACACTGGATATCCACATGGCCGACCATAGTTCGAGTCCTGGGCCTGGTGGTTTGCTTTCTCACTTTCCCTCTCTCTCTTTCACTCTGTCCCTCTCTAGTTGAAACTAAATAAGTACAATAAAGTTAAATAAAATAATTATTTATTTAAAAACCCCCCCCCCCCCAAAAAAAAGAGAGAGAAAGAAAGACATAGACTCAGCCAGGGACCAGCAGTTCAACCTAGAGTTTAAGGTACTAGATCCCACATGACTGATTCCATGGTTCAAGTCCCAAACCCTGTGGCTTGAAAATTCCATCAAGCTTATGTACATGTGTGCCCCAAATCCCAAGGTAACTGGAGTAGGGGTTGCAATGTGGCCAACTACTCTTAGGGCTCATTTCTCGCTTTGTGTCTCTGTCCCTCTCTGGCACATGCCCTAAAACAAAAACAAACAAAAAGATTCAGCCATACATGGATTCAGCAAAAACTTCACCACACTTGACCAGCAGATGGTGTAATGGTTACATCACTGAACTCCCACAAAGTCGACCACAGTTCAAGTCCTGGATCAGGAGGCTTGAACTCGTCAGGTGCATGTGCCTGCATGCCCAAGATTCCCAGAGGAGAATGGAGAAGGGATTGCAGCATGGCCAACTCCCTGGGGGGTGATTTCTTGCTGTCTGTCTGTCTCTCTCTTTATTTCTGGTGAGCGCACACACCCTATATCAAAAACCTCTCTATAAAAACAAAACAAAACAAAAACTGTGCCTTTCATGGAGCTATAAATATATTCTGTTACACGAGGTGTTTTCTTAGCTACACAGTATGGCAAATGGGACGGGACAGTCATAGAAGTAGCAAAAGTGGGGATACTCTTCAGAAACTTTTTTTTTTTTTTTTTTTTTGAGAGA